CAAACCTTCACAAGACATAAGGTAGGGAGTGTGTAGCATACCTTATGATGTTAATAATGTAAAATTCCTACACTTATTATAAACACCTGGGCCTCTATTCCTGAAACCATTCTCATGCTTAAGCATGGATTTTGTTTGCTCAAACCATTTTTTTTGTAACTCGCTTAAATCATGTCAAATGATAAAAAATTCAAATGTAACATTGAAAACAGTATTTTGCTCTAAGTCTATTCAACGTTTTCCAAGTCATTGACAACATAAGAGATCTTTTATGAATTATAAAGGGAACAAGAAGTTAAGCTGTGTTGGTATATGTTGTTTTTAATGTAAAAAACACTGTATTTCTTGAGACATTATACCCACATCAGAACATCTAAAAGAAAACTATTTTACAGTCAGAGCGGTGAACATTTGGAATAATTTACCATGGGAGGTGGTAAACACGCGATCCTTTAATTCATTTAAAAATAGTCTAGATAAATGCTGGAAAAATCAGGAAATATTATATAACTTTAGAGCACCTATTGAAAGCGGACTTCAAGTTCAGTGCGATGCAATGATCGAGTCCAGTGGAGAGAGGACCTATACAGGTCCTGTACTGGAAACTGATTACTCTAGATAACTCTAAGTAACTTTCTGTCTATAATGTAGTGTTACATATCAACAGCGGCTGACAGTATACCTCAGTATTACCACCTATGCTCAGGCCTATTGCTGTATCCTAAGTATATGTTTAATTTAACAGCTGCCAGTGATTGCCTTGGTCGGAAATGATGCTGGCTGGACGCAGATAGAGCGAGAACAGGCACCCATGTTTGGAAGCAGCGTTGCCTGTAAACTTGCTGTGAGTTCAATCTTCACTTGATGTTATTGACAAAAGACTAGACAGTGGACATTGATCATTTGTTTCTGTCCTATGTAAGATTAAGGTGTAGTTCTGTCCTATGTAAGATTAAGGTGTAGTTCTGTCCTATGTAAGATTAAGGTGTAGTTCTGTCCTATGTAAGATTAAGGTGTAGTTCTGTCCTATGTAAGATTAAGGTGTAGTTCTGTCCTATGTAAGATTAAGGTGTAGTTCTGTCCTATGTAAGATTAAGGTGTAGTTCTATCCTATGTAAGATTAAGGTGTAATTCTGTCCTATGTAAGATTAAGGTGTAGTTCTGTCCTATGTAAGATTAAGGTGTAGTTCTGTCCGGTGTAAGCTTAAGGTGTAGTTCTGTCCTATGTAAGATTATGGTGTAGTTCTGTCCTATGTAAGATTAAGGTGTAATTCTGTCCTATGTAAGATTAAGGTGTAGTTCTTTCCTATGTAAGATTAAGGTGTAGTGCTGTCCTATGTAAGATTAATGTGTAGTTCTGTCCTATGTAAGATTAAGGTGTAATTCTGTCCTATGTAAGATTAAGGTGTAGTTCTATCCTATGTAAGATTAAGGTGTAGTTCTGTCCTGTGTATGATTAAGGTGTAGTTCTGTCCTATGTAAGATTAAGGCGTAGTTCTGTCCTATGTTAGATTAAGGTGTAGTTCTGTCCTATGTAAGATTTAGGTGTAGTTCTGTCCTATGTAAGATTAAGGCGTAGTTCTGTCCTATGTAAGATTAAGGTGTAGTTCTATCCTATGTAAGATTAAGGTGTAATTCTGTCCTATGTAAGATTAAGGTGTAATTCTGTCCTAGGTAAGATTAAGGTGTAGTTCTGTCCTATGTAAGATTACGGTGTAGTTCTGTCCTATGTAAGATTAAGGTTCAGTTCTGTCCTATGTAAGATTAAGGTGTAGTGCTGTCCTATGTAAGATTAAGGTGTAGTTCTGTCCGGTGTAAGCTTAAGGTGTAGTTCTGTCCTATGTAAGATTATGGTGTAGTTCTGTCCTATGTAAGATTAAGGTGAAGTTCTGTCCTATGTAAGATTAAGGTGAAGTTCTGTCCTATGTAAGATTAAGGTGAAGTTCTGTCCTATGTAAGATTAAGGTGAAGTTCTGTCCTATGTAAGATTAAGGTGTAGTTCTGTCCGGTGTAAGATTAAGGTGTAGTTCTGTCCTTTGTAAGATTAAGGTGTAGTTCTGTCCTGTGTAAGCTTAAGGTGTAGTTCTGTCCTGTGTAAGATTAAGGCGTAGTTCTGTCCTATGTAAGATTAAGGTGTAGTTCTCTCCTATGTAAGATTAAGGTGTAGTTCTGTCCGGTGTAAGCTTAAGGTGTAGTTCTGTCCTATGTAAGATTATGGTGTAGTTCTGTCCTATGTAAGATTAAGGTTCAGTTCTGTCCTATGTAAGATTAAGGTGTAGTTATGTCCTATGTAAGATTAAGGTGTAGTTCTGTCCTGTGTATGATTAAGGTGTAGTTCTGTCCTATGTAAGATTTAGGTGTAGTTCTGTCCTATGTAAGATTAAGGTTCAGTTCTGTCCTATGTAAGATTAAGGTGTAGTGCTGTCCTATGTAAGATTAATGTGTAGTTCTGTCCTATGTAAGATTAAGGTGAAGTTCTGTCCTATGTAAGATTAAGGTGTAATTCTGTCCTATGTAAGATTAAGGTGTAGTTCTATCCTATGTAAGATTAAGGTGTAGTTCTGTCCTATGGAAGATTAAGGTGTAGTTCTGTCCTATGTAAGATTAAGGTGTAGTTTATAATCGGGATTACAGGAAACTTAAATTATTAACTTACATTCTTGTGGAATTCTTTGAGTGTTTGTGACTGTCATGCTGCTAAAGTAGTTAGATATTATAATAATAATGACTTTTATTTTTACAGGGTTACATAAATTATTTAGATATAGTCTAGTTTACAATACAGCCCCGTTATACATATATGTACAGATATGTATATGACTTTGTAATTTTGATAAAATAACGTATTTTCGTTTATTCAGTTCACTGATTATGAAACGGTTGCCATTGGATACGGTGGAAAGGGCCTGCGATTGGACAGGTCAAATGAGGACAAGATCAAAGATGTATTAGAGAATGCTGTTAAACAGAGTCGGGATGGAGACAGTGTGCTGGTCAATGCCCTGATAGGAAAGACCAACTTCAGGGAGGGCAGTATTTCTGTGTAATACAGCAGATGGCTGATGTCCAGTCTGTGACAAAATATATACTGACTGGGTATCTATATAGAGCTAAAGACATTCCTGTGATATTTTTTCTATACATTTATATTTTGATCATGAATCAACAGCATACTGTACTATAGAAAAGGGTAACCTTGCTAAAGCCTACACAGATCACTGTCCCAGGTTGTGTTGGGGCTATGTTTGTACACTTTGGTGTAAGGGTGGAGTAATGATGAGGGATCTAAATGTGAGGGTTTGTGTGCCTGTGGGATCACCATGAGAGAATCACAAGTCAGTGTGGACTTGAGGGTTAATCATAGGGGATGACATGTTATTGAGGGTGGAGACTCTATACACTTCGCTTTGGATTGTATGTAAGTGTGGGAGGAGACTAGGTTGTGTCTGACAGGGAATATAAGACAGTAGGTGAGTTAGACAATGACATCATTAACTAATGTTAATGGGTTGTATGATATTACAATGTGGTATAAAAGTGATGTACAGATGTCAATTCTTGTAATTCTGTTTTCCATTGAATATTTAAACTTAAAGTTTTCACAGAACAAATGTATTCCTTGTGCCCTGTAATCGTTACCTGACATTGTCTTTGACTTGTCATTTCTGTTCATTTGTAAAGTGTGATCAATGATTTAAAATCTAATGTTATACATTTCCTTTAATAATATATATTAATAATTGTTTTGTGGTGAGCCATAACATACAGCCAGTGTTCAGGCCATGCAATACAAGGTTGTGTAATTCATGCTGTGTCTGTACAAGATGTTCCACTACCCTGATACCAACAACTTTTGGTTAGAACTCCTCTGTGATTATGCAATGATCTAATCGATGATGTGAAAGACAATGGGTTCTAAACATCCAAGTGCAATATTACACTCTGTTAATGTGACATCCTGCCCTCAATATGGTTTTATCAATGATTGTTGTTCAGTTCAAGTTTTCGGAAAGTAAATTAGATACTTATAATAGGGGATATTCATGATAACGTTTTGCAGCTAACATAAAAGAACATAAAGGTTTTGTTATGAATGAAATACCACACCATGTTTTTTACCTGAAGTCGCAGACAGCACTCACTTTTATTGTCCAGACATTCACATTCACTGAAGTGCTATACTAACTCCAGGATGGTTTAGTCTACAACTGTATGTGACGTCGGATAGAAATGAGTGTGCTCATATCTGCATAACTTATTCTTATTGAGAGACTTCAAATTCAGTTAAAAAAAATCATATAGTCTGTATAATACAATACCGCAAATATCGTTTTCCACTTGTACTGAAAATAACAGGATATATGGAGGGGTCTCATGTACAGTTGGTTCAGTAGGCAGCCATGTACAGTTGGTTCAGTAGGCAGCCATGTACAGTTGGTTCAGTAGGCAGCCTTGTACAGTTGGTTCAGTAGGCAGCCATGTACAGTTGGTTCAGTAGGCAGCCATGTACAGTTGGTTCAGTAGGCAGTCATGTACAGTTGGTTCAGTAGGCAGCCATGTATAGTTGGTTCAGTAGGCAGCCATGTACAGTTGGTTCAGTAGGCAGCCTTGTACAGTTGGTTCAGTAGGCAGCCATGTTCAGTTGGTTCAGTAGGCGGCCTTGTACAGTTGGTTCAGTAGGCAGCCTTGTATAGTTGGTTCAGTAGGCAGCCATGTACAGTTGGTTCAGTAGGCAGCCATGTAAGCAAACTTTGATACTATCCTTTTAAATCCTATTAAATATGTTTTCTTCCATTGTCATCTGTTACCATTGATAAATTAAGGTAAAAGGTACCACAGCATCAAGTATGATTGTGAAAAGAGTTCCCCTTCAGAGCTGCTTTTCTGACAGAGTTACTGCCCTTTGCAAGATATTTGTCTTTGATTTTGATACTGTGCATTTATAACATGTGGATTATCTGTTTTAATTTTTTGTTCATTATTAATTTTGTTTTCAAATAAAAATGTAATCCAGTTTTTAACAACTTCAGTTCTGTAAAGTGCATTGCAAGATGTGCTTTATAATTATTGAATTACTATTTATAATAGTGTCAATGGAAATAATCACTTTAATCTGATGGTACTCTTTACCTACATTTTCAGATAGTGTTGCTGAACTATACAAGTTCTTCAATCACTGACTTCTACATATCTGTCACATGTCTGTCACAGGAACTCAGTGCTTTGAGATTAAATTTTTAAAGAAACAAATTTTTGTTTATTTTGTTTTTATAAATTAATTAGGGTATGCTTGCATATTAGCAAACTGGGGCTTAATTTCAGGATGAGTGGAATGCATGTATAATTAAATTAGTATTTAATTCTGGTTGGATCAAATGAATGACATTTAAATAACTTTATCTATAAAATCAAACGGTCATTGGTAATGATGTTTTGGTGGAAGCATCATTGTAACAAAATAGGCTGACTGTTGTATCCTGAGATGAAGGGCTATTAATTTATGTTGTTTAAAAAAATGACATTGACTTCCTTTCAAGTCACTAGGGTTAAATTTGTTGAAACATAACGACTTCTTAATTGCTAATAGACCTATTTGATGGTTTAGCCAGAAGCATGCTTGTTTAAAGGATGTCGACCCATTCCCAAGGTCACAAGGTCAAATGTGAAAACGCCTATAATAACAACAACTAAACCAAAAGGACTATTTGTCATCATTATACCCCACGCAACGAAGTTAGGGGGAGTATACTGGAATCACCCTGTCTGTCCGGACTTGTCCAGAAAACTCTGGAATGATCAGTATATTATGTAGTTGTGCACCAGCATTTTAGTTCAGATTTCAACACTTTTTAAGGGTGTTATGGCCCTATATGTGAAATAACTTGTAAGGAAAACTCCAACTTAACCAACAGGCAGATTTAATGAAACTTCACTTGAATGATCAGTATATTATGTAGCTGTACACCGGCATGTTAATTTAAGATTTCAACACTTTTTAAGGGAGTTCATTATGCAAAATAACTTGTCTGGAAACCCCAAGGTCAAGGTCATTAAACGATGTATAAACTACAAGATTCTGCCGGATGACAGTTCTAGTATTTTGCCTGTAGCACACTGTGATAAAGGGCTATAAAGGATGTTCAAGTGAATGACAGTACCAACTTTCAAGGTCAAAGGGGTCAGTATATGAAAACCTCTATATGGCTCTAGATCTTTGGAATGACCAGGAAAACAAAGGGCATCATACTTGGTGTATTTCATGCTGGGATAGAGTGAAGGGCTATTGAGTTTATTCAAATCAATGACAGTACCATCTTTCAAGGTCATAGAACACAATACATGAATACCTTTGAATGTATAAGCAATGAGTAAGGAGTCCTATTTGGTGTATAGCACGCCGTGATGGAGAGCTATCAGGTCTGTTCAAATGAATGATCTTGACTTTATTTTAAGTACACAGATATGTGAAATGTGTTAAACCCTTTAAAGACTCCTCAAGAACCTAAAGTCCTAAGATCATGAAATATTGCCCCTAGGATGCTGGAGTTATTGATGTCAAAATTTGTTTAAATGAATGACATTGACCAATGTCACATGTATCGAATATATTGAAACCTGAAATTGAACTGCTTAGAAATAAATAGACAGCTAATATTTGGACAGTAGTATACTATGATGAATGCCTAGTGCCAATCAATTTTGTTCAAATAAATGACTTTAGAACCTTTCCTCTGGCCTCATGGATGTCGCATCCTCCTTTTTGTGTCGCCTGCGAAAAGCTGGTGACACATAGGTATTGCTATGTCGGTGTCGGCGGCGTCGTCTGCACAGAGGTTTTCGTGCAATAACTTGAGTTTCCTTGGGCCGATCAAACTCAAACTTCATGCAGTGCTTCCTTACCAAAAGAGCTTGCTTGGAATTGCTTTTAGGTCCGAAGGTCAAAGGATAAGGTCACTGTTACTATAAATAGAAAATCTGTTTTTGTGCCATAACTTGAGTTTCCCTGGGCCGATCAAACTCAAACTTCATGCAGTGCTTCCTAGGATTGCTTTTCAGGTCCAAAGGTCAAGGTCAGCATTACTATAAATAGAAAATCTGTTTTCGTGCGATACCTTGAGTTTCCTTGGGCCGATCAAACTCAAACTTCATGCAGTGCTTGCTTGGAATTGCTTTTCAGGTCCGAAAGTCAAAGTTCAAGGTCACCGTTACTATAAATAGATAGAAAGTTCCTTAAAACTTAGAGTATTCTTCCCAGAATAACAGATTTTATATATAACAAAATAATGCCATTCAAAAACATAATCAATGATTATTGCTTACTTTTAACATTATTTCTTGAAATGAAAAGTGTATCTATTTCTTCGTAATCTCCTAGCTTCCTGCGCAGGGGACACATCCACCTCCGTGGAATTCTTGTATTCAATATCGAGTAACCTTGGCCCAAGGATGTATCGCACAAAATTAAGTTGAATTCCATTCATGACAGCCGTCCGGACTAGAAGCAGTTGAAATTATAAGTTGAAGAACAACAAATGCTGAGCTCTGCTTATCTTGCTGCCAGCATGGTATTCTTGATTCAAAAAATAAAATAGCCATCATGCCTTATCAACTTTGTTTAGATATTCAAACGGCACAACCTTTAAGGGTCAAAAGTTGCTACATTTGAATGTGTCTTGGTTTAAATAAATGTGGTCACATGTGGAAGTGTTTTATTTACAATGGGTATTGCAACATTTTCCCTTGAGTGATGAAGTGGATGGTCAGGATAATTTGTACTGATTTGGTTAGAAATCTTTGAAATCATCCTGGAACGGAGAAGTTGACAATGTCACGGGAATCGGAAGTCAGGACGGCCACATTGGATTTAGAATCATCTAAATATTAACTTAATTGGTCAGAACCATATGGGTGTCAATTGCTGAAGATCACCAGGTCATTTTGCAATGTTGGCTTAGGTCATAAAAGAGCCAACGACAGGCAAGGCTGAAAGAGATTATTTTATTCAACAAGCATAAATCATTAAATATTTCTCACACCATTCGGGTATTATACATCAAACAAGAAGACTCCAGAACAATATATATACTAACTGTATATAACATGTATGTGTAGATAAACGGCCGAAACAAAACAACACAGGACTCCACATAGTTTACAATGCATGCAGCATGTGCTTATGAACAATAATGCACCAGGAAGGTATTTTTAATGAACTCCTTTTAGGCCAAGTTATAAGGTGCTTCAAATATGTGTTTGAGTGTATATACTGGTATTTTAAATCACATCCTCTTAATTGAAAAACAACACATTCTTAGAAAGCTAAAGCCAAATGTGGTAAAACATAGTTCGAGTTGGAAAATTAAAAAAGATAAAAATATATGTAGGAATTTGTTTGTGAGCTGGTGATTAAAAAGGTGAATATATTTTGGTTTTAAACAGTAGCAAACAAATACAGATTTGAAATTTAGTAGTATACCTTTATCAGGCATCTTGAGAAAAATGTACGAAGTATATATTGGATCGTTTATGTTCCTTCTACACTTGTAACTTCCCAAAACAGTTAATTTGTTGAGTTTTTAAAAAAAACATTAAAAGGAATTTCCACATTAAGCTGACTGTGTTATATACCCAAGGTACAGTAAAATCACTTGGGTATAACAGGTATTGTATGTACAATGGTGGATGAGTGGGTTTACAGGATAGTGGCTCCAAAGGATTGGAGGTAATACTTAGGTATTTACAGGTAATAATAAGGTATAACAGATAATACTTAGGTATAACAGGTAATAATAAGGTATAATAGGTAATACTTAGGTANTAGGTATTAACAGGTAATACTTAGGTATAACAGGTAATACTTAGGTATTAACAGGTAATACTTAGATATTAACAGGTAATACCAGGTACAAGTCTGACTTTGATCTCTGAATGTTTTACAAAGAAGCTCCAATATCAATTTAAACTTCTAATTTAACTTGATTAAACTAGGACCAGTATTTATACCTAGATGTCCATATGTTCTGATATTTCCTACACCCTACCAATTATCAACTTAGATGTTCTGATATTACCTACACCCTACCAATTATCAACTTAGCCAACCTCCTAAAAGGGATGTAAACACAAACAGGTCCTGTGCTAGCCACGGCTAGTAGACCTAGTCAATGTCCAGTGCTAGCCATGGCTAGTAGACCTAGGCAATGTCCTGTGCTAGGCACGGCTAGTAGACTTAGGCAATGTCCTGTGCTAGGCACGGCTAGTAGACTTAGTCAATGCCCTGTGCTAGCCACGGATAGTAGACCTAGTCATTGTCCTGTGCTAGCCCTGGCTAGTAGACCTAGGCAATGTCCTGTGCTAGCCCTGGCTAGTAGACCTAGTCAATGCCCTGTGCTAGTCACGGCTAGTAGACCTAGTTAATGTCCTGTGTTAGCCATGGCTAGTAGATCTAATCAATGTCCTGTGCTACCCACGGCTAGTAGACCTAGACAAGGTCCTGTGCTAGCCCTGGCTAGTAGACCTAGTCAATGCCCTGTGCTAGCCACGGCTAGTAGACTTGTACTAGGCTGGTACTGGCCGGTATGTACCTGTAGAGATTTGGAACATTAAATCAGGGACTCTCTATAATTAACAACTCTGGGGACTTTAAAAGTGTCGACAATAGTTTGTGCATATCAGTCGGCTATTAAACTGCCATAGTAAAGCAGGCAGATTGAAATATCAGTGAAACATATGTAGAGGTAACTTCATTTAAAACAAGAGGCCCAGAGGGCCTGTATCGCTCACCTGGATATCTAAGTAATCATGGCAAAATATTCTCCTTATAAGATCCAATGGAATGGGCCAGACCCTAAGGCCAAACCTTGTAGCATATCTGTATTAGATTGTTCATGCCCAGCAAGTTTATGTATGGTTATGGGGTGGGGATCTCAACTGTTTCCAAGCTGTGACTAAGAAACTAGGTCCCTAGGGTTGTGGCCAGACCCTAGGGTCAATTCAAATATCAAGACTACATTGGCCTCTTTATGCCTAGCATTTGTATATATAGTTTTGGGGTGGGGATCTTAACTGTTTCAAAGCAATGACCCAGGAGTTAAGTTTGCAAGGGTGGGGCCAAACCCTAGGGCCATCCTGGAATCATATGTGCCATCTTCTCTTTATAATCAGCAATTGTATATATGGTTATAGGGTGGGGATCTCAACCATTTCCAAGTTATAAACTATTTTTGGTCCAACCCCTTAGCCCCCTGGGGG